CCTCTAAGATTTTTTTTTTTCTGTGGTTTCTTTAGAGGCAAACACATTTCAGAAAGAGGATTATTATGAATGGTTTCTCCAAAGCAATTTGATATATTTTGATATATTTTTCTAAAGATTTTCTGAGTATCAGGATGTTTCATGATTACTCAGACCTGTTTATAAGTTTTAAAATCTAATGAATTCTAAATACAACAGTTAAAATACACAAAATTACTAACTAGCAAAGTGTGTAAATACTCTGCTTAAGATTTGAAAATTGTTGTGACAAACTTACCGATCCAAACTTTGATTCAGTTTGTAAGATCTATGATTTGGAAACAGCAATTAAGAACCAGGTATGGTTTCAAAATGTTAGTTTTCTTTTTTATAATTATTGGTATCACAGTAGGTAAGAGATGGAAATATCTTCTTTAGCGACCACTCTTCCACTATCAGTTTATTGATACTAACTTAGCTAAGTTTAGGCCCAGATAATGTGCATTTTACATTTGTCTGTGTCTCTGGAAAAGTTTTTTTGGAATATTTTCTTTTTGTTCCAGTAATTGAATAGGAAATAGGAGTATGTTCTTAGTGGATTTCATTGTGAAAATAATGTCTAGTAACAGTGAGTCTTCACTTACTGTATTCAGTTTGACTTGTTTAACTCAGTTGAGATCTGCAAATCATTTTAAAAGGGGATTTCATTTAAAAATGAAAAATTTTAAAAATTATAGTGTAAACATTCAGTGAAGATACCAGCAGATTGCTCTTGCAGTAAACAATAATAGAATTTGTCTATATATGTTTACTGTCTATCAATTGATAATTAAATTTTGTGCATTTTTTTGGAGAAAAAAATTAGCTGAAAATCATTGCATTAGCAATCATCATAGGTGTATGTTAGGCTGGATTTGTTATCATTTTATCTTTTATTCCATATGTATTTTGTTCAGCATAAAGCAGAAGCAGAGTGGGACCAAGGAACAGATAGAAAATGAAGTGCTGCAGTACACCAGAGTCTGTCTCATAGAGAAAAATATTGAATCTTAATGAAAATGTAATTTTGTTTCTAGTCACAGTCCTAAAATAAATTGCTTTAGATAACAAATGGAACTGAAAAATTAACTGAACATATCACATGAAAGTATTTCTGCCTACTTTTTTCAATGACTACAAGCAGTACCTTTGATATTAAAGTCAGTGTTGTGTGAAAACTAATTATTTCTCCTCCTTGCTTGTTGGAGTGTAATAGTGTGCACTCAGAAATACTGCAGAGTTTTTAAACATTGCAATTCTTCAACTATTCCAATGTATGTATCCTGAAGTTTATATTCAGAATTTTGTTAATTGGTCTTATCTTAGGGAAAACTTGTACTGAATTATAATCTTATTTTATATCACATTGGTTTTCCTGTGTCTGGTATTCTACGTTTACTCTACTGAAAAGAAAAACATTGATCTGTTCAATTTGACTCAGTGCATTTAAAACGCATTTGAAACTACTTTCCTTATTCAAATCAAGATTAACAGAATGTATTCATAGAATTAAATATAATACGACTATGAAACTAAACTAGTTAAGATTCCTCTGCAAGTTTGGTATATTGTTCATACCCTAATACAATTTGTAGAGAAAAAATCTTGATATGCCATCTTATTATTTATCATGAATTAAAGAGATCTTGTTTATAATAATGCTTTTCTACTTAGGACAATTTTGTATACAGCTATTAGGTTCCCTGTAACTATAAGCCCACTTATATTGTTTGTTGTTAGACCTTTTTTATTTTTGCAGGGTTTGTATGAGGAGAGAGAAACCAATTTAAAATTAAGCAGTACTGAAATACTTAGAAATTATTTTACTCTATGAAAAGCTGTGGCCAGCAGGTCAAGGGAAGTGATCTTCCCCTCTACTCTGCCCTGGTCAGGCCTCACCTGGAGTACTGTATCCAGTTCTGGGTTCCTCAGTACAAGAAAGACAAGGATCTCCTGGAGAGAGTCCAGCAGATTGCCACAAAGATGGTAAAGGGCCTGGAACATCTCCCCTGTGAGGAAAGGCTGAGCAAACTGGGTCTGTTCAGCCTTGAGAAGAGTAGACTTGGAGGGGATCTGATTAATGTTTATAAGCGTCTTAAGTGTGGGAGTCAAGGAGGCACGACAAATCTCTTTTCAGTGGTCTGTGGGGACAGAACAAGGGGAAACAGCCATAAACAGGAGTGTAGGAAGTTCTACACCAACATGCCAAGGAACTTCTTCACAGTGAGGGTGATGGAGCACTGGAACAGGCTGCCCAGGGAGGTTGTGGAATCTCCTTCTCTGGAGATATTCAAGACCCATCTGGATGCCTATCTGCCCAGCCTGCTGTAGGGGGCCTGCGGGGGAACTGGACTTGATGTTTTCTGGAGGTCCCTTCCAGCAACTACAATCACAATGATTTTGTGATTCTGTTCTAAGTGCAAAAGTTACTAAGGGAGAATCCCCTATACAGAAAAAGTTGGAAAGAACAGATTAATTTAACATTCAGACTGACATTTTTGACAGCAAATCATAATCTATTGACAGAAAAACTTTACATCATAGTTTATACTTAACTCTAGAACAGCTAAAAATAGTGCAACCCTTGTTGGTCAAGTGTTTTACATGTATTTTACATGTATAACATAGTGTAAAGGCTTTGGCTAAGTTTGTGTTCATTCTGTGCCAATGTGTTTCCTCTTCCTCTGTTTTGAAACACACCAAATTAAACACAAGAAAAAGTGATAGTCTCAGAATACGTTTCTACTGTGATCATGAAGGTATCCATGTAGAGGAGACAATCTCCTAGTTCCTCTAAGTAGCAGTGCGAGCTTATTCCTTAGTGAAGAGACTCAGCAAAGCACAATATGAATCCCTAGCTAGAAGAATAGCTTCAGTTAGAGCATTCAATTATTAGACATAAAATAATTCAAGTAACATGAAGCTGTTGGAAACAAATGTCATTAGTTCTGTTGCTTATGGAAAAATATGCCTGTGTAACATATTGAAATCTTTTGTTCATGGAATACTAAAATATGAAACTGAACATTTTAAATTATGAGAAATGAAAGGGAAAACTGAGGAGGAGGAACGTGATAATACAAAATCTTTCTCAAATAAGGAGCATATATATAAGAATTATGTTTACTTTCAAATGTATTTTTTTTAAATTATTACTTAGTCGCATGTAATCCTTTGATGAAAATGGATCCCAGGTTATGAGCCTATTCTATAAGAACAGGAAGTCATAAATATTAAATTCCAAATTTGTGTATTTAAATATTCAGCATCTTCTTTTGATATATGGTAATGATCTGCTTCTATCTTCTATAGCATTCTATCTAGTGGACATCTTGAATGCTTACTGTTACAGTTATTCAGAGTATTTCAAAACCATAATGTTTTGAGTTGAACTTCTTCACAAAAACTGGTCAGAACACAGTATATTATCACTGTGCTTGAACACAATTTTTGAAAAGGAAATGCAAGTGTTCTTCAGCTAATAATGTACAACGCATCTACTGGGTTGTTGAAAAGTAATATTTCTGGTGTGTGTAGTGTGGATGCTGACTTCTCAGGATAATCTGTTCTGCTGTGTGAATCTTATTTTGCGTTCCATTGCCTGCTGCTGTAGTCATGGCTGCTGGTAGTTGATTGCCAAATGGAAATCAGTTAGGATCTGAGATTTGAACGTATTGTTTACTTTTTAAGACTACTCCTCAGTGATAAAAACCCTGGTTATACTTCATTTTGCTTTTCTTTTTCTTATTTTTTTTAAGGTTGCTTGTAATGAAACTCATCTAGGCTTTCATCTCTCAGAAAATTCTTCTTTGTATTGTTTTTTTTTTTTTTTTCCTTTTTCTGCTAATAAAAGGCTGAAAAGAATTTTGATTGCCTTCAAATAGACTCTCCAACTTTATGTCAAATTAATTACTATTTTTGCCATTTAGCAGATGTACAAGCATTGAATATGAGTTTTTCTTGAGATAGTTTCCTCAATTAATGCAGTCCTGAGGAATACCAGTACTTCCTTGCTTAAAACTTTTGTGATTCTTAGCTAAATCTTAAAGGCAATTCAAAGCATTGTTTAGATGATTGAAAATACATGGTTATATTTCTGGGTTGAATGTCTAAAACTGGTAATGACTTATGCATCTTGAAGTCGTGTTTGTGTTGTTCAGCTTTTGAAGGTCATCATACAACTAAGACATCTAAGGGAGCTCACAGAACTTACGGTTTCTTGTTCATTATTTCTACCTAAATTTTCTCTATCTGACTTCCTTCCTTGGTGCAACATCAGCAAGCTGCTTTCAGAACCAAAATCTTAAAGTTTTTTACTCTTCTTGGAAGACCTTTTGAAATATCTCAAGTGCTGTGTGCCCATTGCTTTGAGAAACAGGTGATGTAAAGCCAAAACTTGACAACAGCTTTGAAACATTTATTTATTTGTGGATGTTCTGTGCAATTTATGGACTTAATTTTAAGGTTTAATTACAGTGGAAGTACAGTTGCTTGTTTAAAAAAAAAAAAGTGAGCTAGTACCTTTTTTCTGTTTGTCATATTTAAGAGACAGGACAAGGAAGGTTTCACTATAAACATCTTCCATCGGAGTAGTAAATGAGATAGTAAAGGATGGGGACAGAGTATATGGGCCAGCAATCTTTCCAGTTATTGGAATGTACTAAAATCTTTTTCTGCTCATGAGCAATTTTTTTTCTTCATCAGAAAGTAGAAAGATTTAGAATATTTTGGAGGTCCGTATGTTAGTGCAGGGCCATAGACTTATAATTCAGTATTCTTAGGCTGTATACATATATGTGGTGTGTCTTAAAAAACAGTTCCTTTTTTGTGGTATTGTAACAATTTATTTTCAAATTTGAAATGTATCTGAAATGTTTCTGCATCTAGATGAACCTGCCTTTCTCTCAGTATTTTTTTTATTATGAGGAAGTTCTGAAAGGAAATTTATAGTGTTTTTCTTTTGTTTTTTTTTTTCCCTTCAGGCTGTAAAAACTGTGGAGGATACTTTCATATTGATCCAACTTCCAATAGCAGATAAAGGAAATATGTTTTGATGTTTTTCCCAGCAGTGGATTGAAATTAGAAGGAGAAATAAGGAGGACAGATTCCATGTCCTGTTGCTTTTAATAAGAACGGCTTGTAAGTTATACTTCTTGATTGCTTCATTGCTTGAACAATCCACTAAATATGCTGTATGAAACCCATATGTTAACTGAACCTGGCTAAACATATTTGGAACCTTCTTCAGTCAAAGGTACTCTAGGAAGCAGCTCTTCTATACAAAGCTTTGTAGAGGAGATGCTGGTGACTGGTTTGCTGGATCCAAGAGAGAAATGTAGGCGGGTAAAGGGCAGCTAGATATTTGCTCTAGGAAAGATATCACTAGTGGTGAAGTTACACAAAGAGGAATGGGGCTATAAAATGTTGTAGGCTTATGGCATCATTGAACTCCTTAGACTGTGAAGAGATAGGGATGAGGAAGAGAAATACCAAATGAAGGAGGATCTACATTTCAAATGCACTTTATTGTCAGAGGCATCTACTATTTTCTTTTATTGGATAGAATCTATATATGCAACTCCTCTACCACAATAAAATGCAATGAAGAAGAGCCTTTAAATATTGCCCGTAATGTGTCTCTTTCCAGCTGATGACTATGATGATATGACTCATGTGACTATTAATAGCTAAACATTAACATTTGTGTAACATTAATTCTAGGTTGATTATTGACAGTGGTTCAGGAGGCAAATGTGCGTAAAACTATGAATACTGTCACTGTAGATGCTCTTATTTGTTGGAAATTTTTCACTCAGAAATTGACTTAATCATTTCCTGTTTACCTGATAAGATCTATTTAGATCACAGCATGCAATGATGAAGCTATAGCGTGCTCTATTCTTTGTTTGTAATTTATTTAAATCTCAGTTAAGTGGGAAGGATAACATTTTCCTGTTTTGTAAGATACTGTACCAAACCCATTTGCCTGTTTCTTTTGGATGAGGAAGCTTTTGTCTATGTTTTTCGAGATTTTAGTAGCCTTTAGAGTTAAACAAAATATAGTTAAGAAATGTGATGCTAATCTTGTAAGAACAGGCTTGTGGATTTGTCCCCAAAGTGATATAAAAATGATCAGTTGATGATAAAACACTTTGAAATAATGAGGCTTTTGAGTGTGATCGTGTAATCAGGAATTCTAAGAGTCACTGACTGTTAGAGCAAAGTGCTGGCAATGTATTACATAATGAACTAATCCAACAGGACAAATAAAACTGAAGATTCATAATGAGATTATTACTGGAGTGTATAGTCTAATATTTATGAAGATAATTCAGTATTCACTTAGCTCTTTAAAGTGCATTAGAACTTCTGAAATAGCTACAATGAGAACAATTTGCTTAAAAATCTTGAATTTTTTGATGTTATAGAAATGGAGAGGAAATGTTTTTCACTTGGTATGCACATTACAGACTGTGAAAACATTGTTTTGCCTCTGTGATGTTGCAGAAATCATCATCTAAATTTTCCAGATCACCAATTTGTTTACTTGACTATATTTTGAATGGTGTAAAAACAACAAAAACAAACAAAAAAAACCCCAAACCAAAGCATTATTCAGATTTCTGCTGATTTTATTTTTTTTTAATGTCTGAGATTAAATAAAGCAACTTAAATATAAAAATTGATTTCATTTAAATGAATAGTGGATAAAAAGAAAAGCTTTAGACAGTGCTTGTAGCAATTTGTTTTTCTTTTGAAGCAGCTTTTCATTTTCATGATAAAACATAATGATACCTGTAAATGATGACATCATTCAATTTTCCAAATGCAATACTAAATAAATTGCATTAACAATATTAGAATAACATTTAAGTTTATAGCAAAATTCTCTCAGTAGCTTAGAATTTTTCTTAGTTTAAATGTTGGCAAGGAGTGTTATGCACAATGAAGTGGCAGGAAAATGTATCTGATTTACTTGTAAACTGTGCTTTCTAAAGCTGAGCTAAAATTTTTTTTTCAGTGGCAGTTACCTCTGAAGGATGACGCTCTACAATAAGCTGACCTAATTTCCAGTTTCGGGAAGCATAGGAGGAAGAATCAAGGATCTATGGTAAGAAATTCAAGGAGTAAGAAAATATGCCTTGTACTGTGGCAACTGCTGGTATGTTCAGTTGCTACTTCGATTCCTGTCAAACTAGTATTGAACTCTATTACTACTAGTAGTGATCTCTGGACACATCCTTTGCAAATGATTTCCCTCCTTTTCCTCCTATTAAACATAACTCATGACATTAAGGATGTATGCCTAGCTAATGTCACAGATTGATTTTAAGTTTTGAAAATTTAGTACTATAAGAAAATGGATATAACTAATCCTCTTGAATAAAATGTTTGAGTTTCTGAAGTCCAAAGGAAAGGTATTGGGAGTTGAGTATGACTAAAAATAACTCTGAGTCATGTTTTATGAAAAAACCCTAAGTGATGAGGAACTATTAATCATGCTGTCATCAGAGATTTCAGTTAGCTATTATGGTATTTGCAAGAATCATCTCTGTTAGGAATGCAAAGATATTTCTATTTATAAAGTCATAACTTTTGAAAATATAAACCTGAAATGTAGTCAACATTAGGGACCTGAATAAGGAAGAATAGTAGTATTCAGACAATAAGGTGAGATTCACATCTATTAATTTTGCTATCTGATTTTGTACCTCTGTATTTCCTTTAAAAATAGTTCTTGTACAAATATTAATATGAAAGGAAATGGAAAAAGGTACATTTGTCTTCCAGGTGGATTTCTTTGGTTCTGAAATGAAATGTATTTGAGAGGTATTTTGGACTAGTGTGTTTTTTTGCTTGTAATGATCATAACAGTTATAATTAAATGTATTAAAAAGACATTTCAAAGCTTAAAGATTAGATTCCATCTAAAAAGGTTTTATGTTACACTAAAAGTGGTAATTTCTTTTTTCGTGTCTCTTTGAACATGTCAGTGGAAACAATTTACTTTTTAAATTAGAAGGAGCAGAGAAGGTGAGAATTAAGAAGTCCAGGAAAGGAAATGGAGATCCTTCCTTTTACAGAACCAAAGCCAAGTAATAGTTATTAATAACCAGGTCTGTGGGAGTCGATTAATTTGATTCGGTCAACTTAAAGTGATTATTGGAATGATTTAAAAAAACAAAACAAAATAAAAAAAACAACTATTGAAGAGATTTACAAAGGAAAGGACAGATCAGAGTACCAGCATAGCAATGAATGTGTAATTGTCATTTTCTCAAAGAGAGTTATCCATCAGTAAATAGAATTTAAATATTTTCTCAACTACTTGCTGAAGTAACAGGGGAGTAATTTTTATGAACAAAAAAAAGTATACTAATGTATTAATAATGGGGATTGAATAAGAGGAAATTGTTCTAATTTGCTGTGCTCAGTGTTAAAAAAAACCCTGACATTTACCTGCAATTAATGATGGCTGCTGCAGTGTTTATAGCTCTCATATTCAGCAGCAGGAATGCAGTGGCAATTTTAATTCTTTATAGATGGCAAATATTGATATTCTGATGTATTCCTGTATTTTAATTTTATTTTTAAAAGAACAAAATGAGCTAGGTTTCTGTGGCTTATCCTGACCTTGTTTGTTCTAATGGTATTCTCAGAGAAATACTATAGAAAGGAGTTGATAAGATGTTCTTGATACAAATTAAAAACACAAATTGCTAAAATAACTAGACAGATGCTTTTGGTAGTGGGTTACTGCCAAATCTGAAGATCTGATATTAGTTGAGGAATAGAATCTCCCCATGTTTTGGGCTGGAAAGATCCTAAGAATCTCTAGCTCCAACCCCCTGCCATGAGCAGGGACACTTTCCACTAGATCAGGTTGTCCAAGCCCCATCCAACCAGGCCTTGAACACTTCCAGGGATCAGGCATACACAGCTTCTCTGGGCAGCCTTATCCAGTGCCCCACCACCCTCGTAGCAAAGATTTCTTTCATTATATGTAATTGAAATCTACTCTCTTCCAATTTAAAGCCACGTCCTCTTGTCCTATCACTCTATGCCCTTATAAAAAGTCCCTCTCCAGCTTTCTTGTATAGGTACTGGAAAGCCTCAAGAGGTCTTCCTGGAGCCCCAACTCTCTCTACCTGTCTTACTTGGAGAGGTGCTTCAGCCCTTTGATCATCCTTTTGGTCATCTGGGCTTTCTCCAACAGATCCATGTCATTCTTATGCTGAATGTAGCACTGCAGATGGGGTTTCACATTCAGTTTTTCATCCATTAACATCAAATATTCTTCTGTAGGGCTGCTCACAATCCACTTGTCACTCAGACTCCATTTGTGTTCAGGATTGACACAGTTCAGGTGAAGCATCTTGCCCTGGTTTTAACTGGACTTTGTGATGCATGGACCCGTTTCTCTGTTAAAACACTGAAATTCAGATTTTTGCTTATTCTTTTTGACCTCAAGTATTTTTCTTTCAATATTTTTCTTTTCCAAATGCACTTTCATATCTCTTCTGCAAAGGATGAAAAAGTAGTCAGTTCAGAACTGCCTCTTGTAATTTTCAGCTGCTGACAACTCTTCAGTTTGAGCCAGTACTGAAATATTGTTGAAATGACAAATGACAAAACCATGGTTTCTTCTAGAGAAAGATCTAGTTTCACTAAAAAGGATTTGCGCTATCTGGCTTGTGTTAACAATAGGTCTGTCTATTATTAAACTAAGTGCTCTGATTACAGTCAGAATGCAAGTGGTGCTGGTATTCTCTCGTCCATAAAATTTTCCTTAGGTTTATTCTGATATAATTGATTTTTCTGGAAATTTGGTGAAGGTAATACAAGAACAACTGTTTTTTTTTTTTTCCCCCCCACATATTTTGAAAATTTTCAGATGCCTTGAATGCGTTATTATCTATTAAGGACTCTGCAGTTTTAAAAATTCACACCTGTGCACAGTTTTGCTGAGATCAGTAGGGCCCATTCCAGGATGGAGTTCTCTGACGTGCAACCAGAGGCACCATATAATGCTCTTCATATATTTTATGAGTATTGGTTTGTACATTGAGTGTTAGCTCTTTAATTGCACTGTATTTTATTTGTAGTACAATTCTAACAAAAGACTGCAATTTATTTTTTTTTACTCAAATTAAAAGTAATGGGGCAAAACAGCCATGAAAAGACATTATCCAGCTCCAGTGGCTTAAAAAATTAGTTTTTCTCCAACAAGTTGCAAGGTGATTGTGAAATATAGGCATGCAGCTTCTCATACTAGCAACAAACATATGCTTATGCTTATAATTCTTTTTTCTATTTCAATTCTTTTTTTTCATCAGAGGAGAAATACAAATTGCTTGTATTATTAACCACTTGCCAATCAGTGTAGTTATAGTGTCAGTTAAGCTGAACAGGTCATATTTGCATTCAAAAAATCATAGAAATCTTGCCTGCCATTTTAGATGATTATGGTGAAATGTTCTCTTATGCTTTCATCTCAACACTGCTTATTCAATATAATTTCCAAAACATTAGGGTTTCCAGCATCAGTATTAGAAACGTCATGTTAAAAATGAATTGGCCTAATTTCTATATATTTTTTGGTTAAAATTATACACTGTAAAACAAATTTTAAAAATGCTGGAAAAGTGAACAAGGGACAATTTTTTTATATTGAAGCATAAGATTTGCATGCATTGCATATCATTATTAATATTATAGTTATTGCTGCTGCTCTTGTGTTTTTATTGGTTGTTCAGATTGTTTAGAATTTTGGTGCTTTCTGAAAATATCTAAGTCCTAATTAGTAAGCTTCAAAATACAGATCTGTAACTTTGTTTAACAACAGCAGTTCCCACTGTTTAAAAAAAGAGTATATTGAGAAAAAAAAGCTATTTTAGGAGCACCTGGATGAGAATGAATGTTCTTTGATAAGCAACCCAGGGTTTTCTATGAATGTGACTTTTTATTTTGTCATATTTATGACTAGGCAATCTGAAAATTTGAAAGAGAAGGTGCACAGATCAAGGAATTGAATAGAATATATAGGTAAATGATTAGGATTACTACTGGCATCTATCTACTACTATTACTAATATAGTATTTTTGTCCTTATTTCACACAGAAAAATACTAATCTTTTAAATATCTTTTTCTAACTTGGCTTTTTAACATGGATTTACATTGTAGGAATGCAGTTGCGTGCATGAGGTAATACTGAGATATAAATTTTCATCCAATTTCCTACTATTCCTACTATGTGTTAATTGGTTAGTTAGATTTTGTAAATATAGCAGACATTGTTGGAGGCTCTTCTATTCTGAAGAATTGAAAATAATTTCAGAAACCTTTATTTGTTTAGCAACCTTACAATTGCAAGATACTCTGCTATAGTGAGACACTGCTTATGATGAATAGTTCGCTCTGTGCAACATCAGCAGTGCTGTTAATCAGTAGAGTTGCTCTTTAATTCAGATACACTTGAATGCTTTCTCTTACAGTGATACTCTCCTTTCGTGTCTTTCATGAGAAATAATCTGCTCTAGAAAGTGAAAGCTGGTATGAGTAATGCTTTTTCATGATTTCATAATTATTGAACAGAATGATTCTCAAACTCATTGTAATTTGTCTATATGAAAACACACTTCTAAATGGAATGCATTCAGCAGTATGGATACACTAATAAAGGGCAACATAAACTCTCAATATTCTATTTATATTGATTCCTTTCTTTATCTTATATTGCGTCAGAATGAAAGATGCTAGAAATGTTTTGACTTGTCTTTATGCAAAATGAAGCTTGTAATCAGCCGAAATAGTATCAGACTAGATAATTACAAAATGAAATGCCTCACTGCAGCGTTTTCCTAAAACGTGAGGAGAAAGTAGGCATAAAAAATAAGATCCCTGAAGAACTGGTATGAATTGTACAATTTAAAAGGAGCAAGCTTGTGTAATTTAGTGTTTTACAATGTGTCGGTTGTGGAAAACAACCCCAAGAGACATATACAAAATCTCAGCAAAAATAAAAATGCATTCATCTTGTAACGTTTAGTTCTTGGGAACCCCATGTAAAAGGTTGACTGCTTCTGTTGCTTTTGATACCTAAGTGAGTGCAAGTTTCCATGGTTCTCAAGTGGCACTGAAAATTTAATCCAAATTTCTAATTGGCAATATGTGATATCACATGAATGAATCAGGCACATCTTACTGGTATAGAGATCTCTGAAATGAGGCTGTAAACTGTGTTTGTGTTTTCTTTCTCTTTTCTTTCCTTCTGCATTGAC